ACGAAAATTTTTCATACAGTAGATCAATACAGTGTTTTTTTTATTATTATTCTGACTTGACCATGTTTATATTGGAATGCATTTTATAGTTATATGATTGTGGGGAAAAAAGACAGGAAAAGATAAAAAGGGGTTGGAAACATCACTTTGAGTTCTAATCTGCAGAAGACACACATTTTCACAAAGACGAACATCCTCAGCACACACACACTCACACACGCACTGAGGAGAAAGCCAGCAGGAGATATTTCTCCCTCGTCTTTGAGCTGATACAACAGAGTAAGTATGGAGCAACGTGTTGATTCAGCTGCTCATCCATTCCTTGGTTCACTATGTGCTGGACTCTTCCTTAAATGGGATTCTGTTATATTCAGATCCACTGAATGGAAGTCTGTGGTGTTCCCAGGACTTGGCTAAAAGAGGGCATGTGTGTAGGAGTTAGTGAGGTCATGTTGCTCCTGAGCTCTTGCTTTAACTGTGACACAATCCATGTCTTTTAAGTGTTTGGAGGTGATGATGTATTCCTGCGTACCTGAACAAGACATTCAAAAGAGCAACATGGGAAGATGAATATTTTCCTATTTAAGTTAAAATTTGCATTTTCTTTTATTTTTTGTTGAAGAAACAAAGGCTACAGCATGCTCTTGCAGAAGAGGTGTGGTTTGTAGCTAATCATGTTATCAATAGCTCCTCCTGTCCTGTTTAATTTCTGTAACATTCAGAAGCTAAAGAAGGTCTTTTGCTGACAGATTTAATGCAATGTGAGCTAACCTGTGCTTAGACCTTTACTAGTGCTGTTTATGGACAAACACCCTTAAATACCACCATAACAGAGGTGTGTGCCTGGCCATGCGTGTGAGATAACCTTCACTGGTTCGTGTGATCAAGCTGTGACCTTTCCCTGACAATACAACAGTTTAAGCACATTATAACCAGCCTGTGTCAGGGTTAAAGTCAAAAATGTTAAAAAGAGTCAAAAACAGAAATACAAAAGGTTTAAAAGTGGGAACAATTATGCAGTTTTTGGAAATTTATTGCTATTTTGACCTCCTACTGACCTCTGTCTGTTTAAGTATTTGTAAAAGCAGATAACATGGTTCGGTCAACCTTTTAGTCTCTTTTTTTATGATTGAATGAGAAGGACGTGATGATTTATCATCATCTAATGTTGTTCAGACTGACCTATGATTATCAGTGTTACTATAGACAAGAATGTCTGATAAAAGAGATACAGTGAATTTCATTAATACCTCAGACTTTTCCACATTTTGTAACCTTATTATCACCGTCTTCAATTTATTCTACTAGAACTACTAGAGCAACAAGAGTCACATTTTACCAGAAAGTGTAAGGAAAACACTATTTTTTTCATGCAATAACACTTGAAAAGTGTGATGCATTTGAATTCATCCCCCCAAGGGGATAATTTTGTAAAAAAAAAAAAAAAAAAAAAACATGTTTGGAAGCTTACAAATTTTAGCTTCGCCTGTTTCTCTAAGAGCAACATCCCTATAAGAGTTGAAGCAAATCCCTCGCATTGCATTATAATTCCACCCCCATGCTTCACAGCATTAGTTTTCCTACACTTGATGTTGTTTTATTGTTCAGATAAGAAACCAGATTCTCTGCATGATCTCTAAATGTATCGTATAGATATTTTCTACTGAGTGAAATACTCCTTTTACTTTTCAAATGTAGTTAACAGTACTCCACTATGTTTTCAAATCTTGATAAATAGTTTAATGATCTGCTTAACACAGCCCTTTTTCTACCTTATAAATCATCATCTTCCTATCACTTTATAGTTATTCACAACTTTGCGTATGTCTAAAAGAAAAAAACTGTGGAGTTTGTGGATGCAACATAACAAAACACTCTGTATGATCAGTAAAAGCATTCTACATATAACAGCAGTCTTTCTGTAATCAGTGTCCTCTGTATATTAAAGCAGCACTCATGTAATTTAATCTTTGGCTTGATAAATGTCCTGAAGCGGAGTGACCATTATCTAATCTCGTTAGCAATGACACAGGAAACCAGCAAACACTCTGATAAATGGCTCTAGAGCATTTGGATGTTTTCTTCTCCTATCACCACAGAGGCCATACAATCTGGACAAGGTTTAAGTTTCAAGTATTCTAGGCCTTAAATTAGGATTTGGGGTAAATATTTCTTGAAGTTAAATGTTAGAATAGTAATGTGATAATGAACCGTCATTATAAATACATTATAATTAGGGGATGTAAACAGTTTAGTGGAGGCGATTAACTCTGGGTATTATTTCTTTGCTTCCTTGGCACCAGGAATCTTGTTGTTTGTTTTTCTGTTATCACTGGAAAAAAAAACAACAACAGACACTCACACATAAACTTTGGGATATTGTATTTGTCTTTCTCTCTATCAGCTTTTTTCCTGGCAGCTGTCACTTGTGAAGAGACTGACACAAGACTCTGTGTCTTACTGTTAGAGTTAAAAATAGTCTATCACATCATTACATTGTTGAAATATGTACTGAGAAGAAAGGCTTGAAAATCTGAGAATAAATTATATCTCAAAGTGTCTGAGAGAAGGTTAAAATTCTGTATTACAAGTTTTATTTCAAGTAGTAAAAGCAGCAGGAGCGCCGGATGATACCTGGATACCTGACAAAGCCCCAGAGACCAGAAAACTACAGAGCCTGTGGTGAGAGAGGGGAAGGGGGGGGAGTGGAAAAACACGTCTTGCAACACACACTCCCTTGTGTTTTTGTCTTGCCTATACATTTAAGAATCATCTGGAAAAAGTAGTCTTTTGGATAAGAAGCAAAAGCAATGACAATAAATGTGATATTCTGATTTTGATCAACACTGAAATTGGCTTTATAGTGGTAAACCAAAGACCTTTACATAATTTGTACATTGTCAGGGAAAAACCTCCTGCAGACAAGGATTTATAGCATTTTCTCACTGAACTAAAATGTGTGGCGATGAAGTTGCAACGAGTTTCATTGAGCAGAGAAATGGATCACTATTTTACCTTAAAAGGATCTGAAACAGCCTTCAGCAGCTAAGATCAGGGAATAAGATAACTCCCCAGACAGGTTGGGCAAATTCACCATCTGAATCTTTATCACTGTCGGCCACCAAAGCAAAGATGAGCAGCAGAACCTGCAGGGTTTCAGTGATAGATGGGATGGATAATAACTGCTTGACAGCTATATATATATAAATAAGCTAACATACTGAGCAAAAGCTTCAAAGATACTACTCTAGAATTAGCAAAATATTTAAGAATTTTTTTTATTTTTATAGACATGTTTAAGGATGAAGAGAAAATGAGAAAGGTGCAGAGATCCTAAAGACAACTTATTCTTTTTAACACTTGATCGGTATGCCGTTTAACTTGACGTACAAACTCGCATGAATTTGAAAAATTACATAAATTAAGTAAAATCTTTTTTCATATTTAAACACACCAAAAAATTTACTTTGCATTTTATAAAAGTTATATTTTTACATAGAATAAATGTAGTCAAATGCCTTCTTCTTTTACTGTAGAAATAAATGAGACATGATGTTTTGCCATATCCACTGAGGATGACCTGATAATCTAGAGCTGAAGGTTAAAGTACTCCAAACTCTCTTTATGAGGGCTCTTAAGTGGTCAAATAATTCTAAAGAAAACTAATTAGAAGATAAGACCAACTTGCCTTCCCATATCAGATATTTCAAGCACTCGCCATGCCGATGTGAGTGAATCTTTATCAATACAGACAGACCATCTGTATAGCATAAGATGAATATTATGAGGTTTGTCCTATCCTTAATTTGCACAGTACCTAAGTACTCTTAATAATGATGTATATGTATACGCCTATATATGGCCTTTTAAGTTATTATTACCACATTATCACACAGATGCCTAGAAAATGATGTATGAGCTGCATATTTTAATATGTAAAAAAATGTAAGGCTTATATCCAACAGTGTGACAAAAAAGAAGATCAGAGCAGCAGCAAGGAGAGGCTTGGCAACAATGGAGGATCGCTAGAAACTCCAAGCTCAGGGGGACACATCTGATGAAAGGAGAACAATTTGTAGATCCCAAATCTGGTGTTTACTGACGAGTTTCAGGAATAAGGTATTAGTTGTAAGAAAGACAGAATTCCTGTTTAAAATGACCCATAATCAGTGATGGAGAACATAGTAACCATAAGAAAGAAGGTGTTGTGGTCTGATGGAAGAAAAATATCATTTATTTGACAATGTTTGATAGAACATCAAGAGCAGAAATCACTATGCAGTTATTAACAACAGCCTGCTTTGATTGAATAAAAGGACCTTTTGAAATCAACAATTTTTAAGCAGGTTTTAAACATATTTCACATTAAGCCCACATAGTTGTATTAAGATATTTTGTACAATGAACTGATACAATGTTCAAATTTAAAATGTCTTTTTTGATTAGATTCAAGTGAACAATTATCATAGTCAACAAATAAAGACTTTTATCATACAAATTAAATACAGGCAGACAGTCTGCGTGAGGTGTGATGAGAGTGCCTTTAAAAATGGTTTAGTTCAAGGCTTATTGATGTGTGTATATCCCAGGAAAACTAATTGTTCATGTTTAGGTAAAAAATCTGAATCCTAATGTTAATGGATGCATCTTTGTTCTTGTTTGGCTTTTTCCAAATGATTTGTGCATTTTTGCAATTTAACACCACCTCATGTTGGTCTACCAAATAAAAGCCCAATCAAATATATTACATTGGTTTCAGTGTGACAAAAAGTGAAGTTCAAGGGCCATGGCCACTTTTGCAATGCTGTGAAGGCTTTTAAGTGTGAGTAAAAAAGGTAGTCTCCACTATGCACACGCACTTGTTGATGTTTATGGAATAACACTAAAACTGGCTTTCGATCCATACATGCGTCAGCCTGGCAGCCATGTCACACTCACAGTGTGCTTGTGCACATACAGTACGATTGTTTCTATCCCAAACAAAGAGGAGGAGCTCAAAGTACTTATTCGGGTAAAAAAGAAAAGGCACTTTTAACCTGGCACGGTCTTGGAGTTTTCACAAACGCTCCTCTGCTCCTGGATCATCACCTCAGGTAAGGGGGTGGGGGGGGAGTAGAACGCTTGACAACATTCGAGGGATCTTGGTTATTGATTAGCACAGAAAGATTTCTTAATGTTTTCTTATTGTTACTTGATCCCAATTATTTTTTTCTTATATACAGATAGGATGATGATTAACTGTTTCAATGAAACTAATCTGGCTTTTTTCTAGGTTTTTTATTTTTATTTTCCTTAACTATATACCCAGGATATTAAAGAATTTTTGCATAGACTCAAGCATCCTTGTTTTCAGAGTGGCAGAAACCACTGATGCTTGAGGTCCCAGAACAAATGCCTTTATGTTGTGGAAGGCATTTTAACACATGGCTTCTGGAAGACAAAGGCCCTGTTGACCTTGACTTGTTAAGTGCAACCTGATGCTAACACTGAGAAGTCACCTGACGAAGGTCATAATGGAAGGGACAGAGATAGAGACATGAGAGGCGTCTGCATTATCTGTGTTTCCACTTGATGTTCAGCTGGAGAGATGCTGATGCAACACGTCAGATGAGGAGGCTGGATAAGATGCAGATAGAAAATGTGTTATTTTGCAACCAATCTGGTTAAACATACCCCCCTAAAAAAAATATTTTATTAATTTCATCTTCTGCCTTTTGTTCTTCTGGTCACAGAAACAAACAGGGCAATTTCAATTCTAAATTTTAGAACACTTATGACAGTTAAATACAGCAAAAATAAGGAATCAGCAACTTTGAACACATTAGACACACATTTAATTTGGCCAAGGTCACAAAGGCAAGAACTGGCTCTCATAAAAATGCATGAAACCACACATTAATCTTAAAATCAGTTTTAAATCTTTCTGGAATATGCATATTAACGCACAAAACACATATATTTCACTCCAGCATGTTTGCATCTGCTTTAGCTTTTGGTTATCATAGATAAAAAATGTAATGGCTGTGAAAAATACTATTGAATACAATAAAAATTGATAGATAGCATTTCATTAAGCCAAAGGAAGCCCAGAAAGGAGTTAGTAACTTGTATTTCACCATACGTGTATTCCCTAATGTTTCAGCCCGCAAAGTTTACCAAAGAAGAAAGAAAGAAGACAATAAAATAATGGGTTTTATTGTTCTATAACAGCTTAAATTGGTAACTTAAAAAAAAAAAAAAATTCTAGTAGGTATGCCATTTATTATACCAATCAATATGAATTACATCTGCTTTGGGAAAACCTAAGTATTTCATAATCAGTCCTATTTTTTCACTGTGATCAAACAGAGAGCATCAGAGGTGGAACCAAAGCAGATCAGTAAATCACATGACTACTTTTGGCCGGTCGCTAAACAACTCTCTCCAGTCAAGTTTAAGCCGAAGGGCCGTTTTCTATAGACATGCTGGGTTTCGACCCATAACAAAAAATGATCTGCTGTTTACTCTACAAATACCCAGAATACCCTGCTGACGAGGCACTGACCTCTCTCACCACGAGGACATTCTTCCTGAGGAAAGGGCAAAGTACAGAGTGTCGCTGGTCTGTAGGACACTAAGAGACCAGGAAAGAAAAAGTGATGAGAAAAATGTCTCACGGTCCTGTTATCTCCATGTATGTTTATCTTTGTCTCTTTATAGCTGACTGTCTGTTGTGTTCAAGATGGGACATATCACTCTTGTCACTTTCCTGGCAGGTAATTAAAACAAAAAAGCACATTACATAGAACAAAAGACAATTTATAGAGTTATCTATTGCAGAATAATAACTGGTTTCAATATAAAATCATTTTAATTGAACATGTGGAGAATTAAACTTCAAAAAGAAGAAGTTTTACTCACTTAACTTTAAAATAATTATTTTTTTCTCTACTTTTTCTAGCACTGTTTTCCATTTTTATGGAAGCAGAAGCAAGTAAGACCAAACCTCTTCTTCTTTTTTCATTGAACCGTTGATCTGGGAACAATTTTAAGTTTCATTCAGACTCAGTATCACCAGATGGGAGATTTGAGTCTAGAATCTATAGTGAAGTTACATCATTTAGCGTCTATGTGTTGTTTTCTTGATTCACTTTGATTATTTGAACCAGTTTTTTTTTGTTTTTTTCCGTCTTGCATCTCATTAAACACACCTTAGATCAGTGTTTCCAAATGTTGTTTGACTTCGGTACCCCTTTGGGCCTTTTTTCTGACCATGAGTCCCCCACTCAGTCAAAAGTATGGATGATTGTCCAAAAGTGGAACCCTTACTAAATCTTTTAACTTGAGCATTTAATTCTGAGGCATTTTATTCCTTCCATCTAAAAAAAAAACATAAAATAAATATGTTACCTGGAAGTTAGTAAGAAATCAGAATAAATAAACTCGAGCTCCTCTGAGTAACTCCATTATAATCCCATTTAAACTTGATGAAATGGGGGGGAAATGCAGAACAAAAGTTATAGTCAGACGGACTTAATAAGTTTTACTTTGTTTTCATTACAACACCTAAGCTGCTTTGATGAGCTCCTATAGCTCTGTGTAAAGAAACAGCTGATCCCAGGCTGTTCTCTTCATAAAATCTGATATTTTGCTTGGTTTGGATGTGGGTCAAAGCTTAAGGTGCACACACACATATACTAAAAACTTAGTTTTTGGTTGAATAAAAGCTTTTTTAAATTTTTGATTGGGTCCTCCCAAAGAAAAATAGATCCCAATCCTATTTTATTTTACTACCTCAAAAATAACATATTTTTATGCACCCTTTGCGATGCACTCGCGGTCCACTAGGGGAACACGTACCCCCGGTTGGGAATCACTGCTTTATAAGGAATGATATTAAAGTTTTTCGCTGTTTTGAATCTGTAATATTTAAAAACCTGAAAATGAACCTTGGAGTCAGTAGCCAATCCATGGTTACATCTAATGTCAATACAACAAACAAATTACTGAGGTGCTGAAAGAAGCAATGTTTTCTAATGTGAAAGTTTCACAGTATTTTGCAATTCATTAAAGCTTTTGAGATGCAATTGGGAAATGGAAATAGGCACAAATCTGCTGTTTGGCTGACTGACTAAAAACTGTAACTAAATAATTTTTGTTTTCTTTTCTTTTTTTCTACGCCTTCCTGCTTTGGTGTCGGTTCTTCAGACCCATTCGTTTACAGTAAGTGGGAACACACAGCTTTCTATTGCATTGAATCAGACACAAGCCACCAGAGGGTCAGAATGTAGAAAAGTCAAATGCAATGACAGCTTTTATTCAAAATCTGGGTGATTTTTTTATCTAACAGCTGGATGTGTCTGCTCCTTTGTCTGACAGACTATGAAAGGCTAAGAATCGGAGGCCTGATCTTTGCCTGCTTGTTGATAGGTGGAGGAATCGGCCTTGTCGTCTGTAAGTTCTCCAGTCATCAACAAAGGACAAGTTTAGCTTTTCAGAATGACTGATTGATCAAAATCACACAAATATCTGCAAAAACATCTGTTGTTGTTTTTTTTCTGTCCTAGATAACCAATGTGCTAAGAGACCCAGGTAAGACATTTCTACTGATCAGGAGCTGGTCTGAATTAAAAGTTGCTCCCCTTCTCAGACTGCCATGTTAACTGCTGCCACTCCCTTCTCTCTCCTTACCCAGTCGGAAAAAGGAAAACGACAGTGATATCTGATCCCGATCCCGACAAACCTGTTTCAGTCACAAAGAGGAGCTGGGAGGTTGTGGTTGGAGAGAACGGGAGCATGGTGGGACAGTAGGAGGAAGCACATCTCAGAAGATTTGGCTTTACCTGTACAGACATAAAGCAATCAGCATCCCCATGTTATTTCTGATACGCCATTATAAAAAGCCTTAAAATGTCAAAGACTAAATTAGTTGAATCTCAATAGCTCCACCTCCGATTTTGTCAATTTTTTCCCTTATATGTCCTTATATTACTAGTAGCACTGCCCATACAGCATAGAGGGCTCTCTCTACAGGTGCATAAACTGACATCAAATGTTGTAGAAGGCTTCTAGGGCCTTTAATAGAAAATGATCATAAGTTTGATAAAATGGTGTTCATTCAAATTGGTGATGTGTGATTAATTATATATATTGACTTATATGTTGTAACAGAATTCGTGAAAATAAATGTCGCCCAGCTAAATGCATGTTGAAATTCTAATAAATGTCACTATTTAAAATTTATTAAATGTGTACGTGAGAGTTTTTTTTTTTTTTTTTTAAGACCTATTCAATCTATATGTAGTAATTTTCTTTATTTTGATCCCTCAAACCTATAACTGCCTAATTTGAACAGTTTCCTTTCCAATAACACAGTAGGCTGACTCTGGATCAGCTTCCCCTCCCCGTTCTTTGGCGCTTCCTGGGTTTAAAGTAAGCGGAAACCGAACCGGGATCAGCTACCATCCAGCAAAGCTTTAGCAAGGCTTTGAACACAGCCCCCTTCTTTGTGTTAAAAAGCGAGCCAACCTGTTGAGTGTGTGAGGGAAGTGTTGAAGGCTGGGTGTGGGCTCTGCTCAGTGAGGAGGACGCTTCTTCAGCCGCACATTCATATCAGTCCTTCTGCTTTCTGCTGCTCACTTTAACCATTTACAAGGTAAGGCTTCAACAAAACTCTGCTTTTTCATGACGTTCTCCATGTTTTGCGTTTCCTCTTACAAAAATATAGTTTGTTTGTTTGTTTGTTTATGGGTAAAGGGCGTGTTTAAGTTTGTCTTTCTTTATAGGGCGGAATGAAAAAAGAAACTGTTATTTAAACTTGATAAATAACCTTAAATTTTATAATAAGTGATCGGTCTGTTGTTTACACACTAGCTAAGACACAGATAAACATCTATCGTCATGTTTCCAGCTCTGCTGTATAAGCTGTTTAAACCAAAGAAATGGGGTGGAAAGCAGTTTTTATTCCCTCTGTCCTGCTTCTGTAGCGAGGGACGGACGGCAGCACGCGCGCACTAAACTAGGCGCGTGAGCAGTGGCGGTTCTTCTATGACCAGGGCCGCGGGCGACTCGCTCTTTCTGAGCCTGTGCCTGCTTTTTTTTCCTCCTTTCTTTCTTTAACCAACGTTTTCACAAATATTGGAAAAAAATCAAGCAGTGTTTTAGAGATATTTTAATTTTTCTATTTACCTTTGAACATAAAAGGGATTACTGAAACTCTAAACACTTTAAAAAGTTTGAAAAACCATCTTTTTTATTTACATTTATGGAATCTATGAATCAGATATCAACTTGTCAGCTGTAGCATATGGCTTAAATTTATTTTAACACCTTCAAAGCAGACATGTAATTTAAGACCCCTTTAGAATCTAAGGACATAGTTATTTATTTGTTTACTGCAGGAAACTCATTTGTATTTCTTTCTTTCCATCTTTTTGTACAAAAAAAAACAAAAACTAACGAACAAACAAACAAAAAAAAAGTTGAAAATGAAATAGTCAACACAAATGGTATACCCAGTCAGATTTTGTTGGAGTTTCCTTTATTCACACTAATAAAATTTGGTCAAACTCTCTTTGTCAAAACAGATAGGGCAATTTATTGTTCTCCAGATCCCTGAATAGTGTATTCCTGAAAGATATACTATTGAGGGATGATTTACTTTTTGTAATCAGGGTACATATAAAAAAATGAGAGGTGAAAAGCTAAAATTTGAAACAAACATAAAAACGTATATGTTTATATTACTATTTTTATATATATATATATTTTAAATATTTTTCAAGACTGCACTTAAAAAAAAAGAAGATTAAATTGTCCAGAGAGCTGTTCCAAGCGAAATTTCTTTCTGTTTTACAATTGTGTAAGCAAAATGAAAAAGTCTAAAAACTGACCATGGCCAACTTTTCCAGGAAGTGGAAAAACTAGGGGGAAAAAACAGCATAAAAATTTGGATTGACATTTCCATTAGATATTTATAACATCCTTATAGACAATAACTAATATTTGCTGATATTTATTTCCATATGCTTTGACCTCACTGATAAAAGGACAACACTGCAGACATTGTTTTTCTACATTATAGTACAGTTTAGATATATGGTGTTGAATGATGTCTAATATCAGCCAAAATAGATGTTAATGCTGATATATTGTGTTTTCCTATAACAAAGTATATCTGTGGTTGCAATGCTGCACCCATTGAAATCCAATAGACTAGCAATTGTTTTGAAATTCATTACATTTTTATCATAAAGACATGATTTTTATCAATTCAATCAGACACATTTTAGTTCTAACTAGGGTTGAAACAATTTTTCAGGATTAATCGATTATTGAAATGACCATCAACTAATTTAGTAATTGATTAATCATTAAATAGAGTATAGAGATGGTACAAAATGTCTTAAGCTGACAGTGTAACCCATTTAGAGCAGTAATTATATCAAAATTGTAAAAAAAAAAAATGTTAAAAATTCACATTTTAGATTTAAAAAAAAAATGTTTGTCATTATGCTCTATCCAGAACGCCTCCAGTGGGAAAGTTTTAGTTTCACCTGGTTTAATTTTGCAAAACAAAAATCTTCTTTAGGGAACTTTTGGTTTTCCGATTATTAATCGAAAAAATGATAGACAGATGAATTGATTTGTAAAATAATCGTTAGTTGGAGCCCTAGTTCTAACCCTAAAGAAAGCCCTCTAAATGTGGCAGTGGCTTAGCTTTTAAAACACATGGTGCAGTCTGGGTTGTGTGAGAGACAGAAGGTCGGCTGATAAGAGAAATGGCGGCCACTGTTTGCCAAGTGCCACAGGGCAGCCTGGGAACAGGACAAGGGACAGGAACCATTTCTGAGGCTGTAGTGATCCTCCTCTGGATCACAATAGAATATGTAAACCATTAGATATTGATTGAAAGGCTGTCTCTACATTGCCACATAAATTCAGCACTGATGGAAGCCGAAGGAAAATAAAACTTTCTAGAAGTTTTCATAGGGTAGGTATTTATATTTACTTTGTCAGTGCTTATCTACAAGCCATGATTACAGATACAGACTGTACAGAAAATAAAGAAACGACACAGCATATTGGTATATTTTAGGCAAATATTCCTAAAAAGGTATTGCTTTTGTTGCTTCAATGTAAGAATATGAGTAAATAAACAACACGAATAGATGTTTACGGGTAGATCTTTTTATATTTATATATAAAATGTCCTGTTAATATTAATGCAAAAGAAATACCAGCAGCAAAAGCAGAGTTAAGGATTCTTTTGTGTGAAGTGACAGAGCTATTTATTCTCTCACAGATGAGACAGACTTAGCTCTCCATCTTCACCTCGCCTCACATGATCACAGGTCTCAGAGAAAACAACAGGAGAAACTGAGAGAAACACTTTGGCTTTGGTGGAAAGGAGGAGAGAGGGGGATGAGAGGAGCCCACTCTTTCCTTTACCTCCCCACTTATCGCTTTGCAGGCTCACAAACACAAATTTAGACACCTCAATGAGGAGGTATTGATTTTATATCAGCATCATGGCTGTGACCTTCACTGCTTTCACTGTTTGACCTCCAAGCTTTAAAGCACTGCTCTAAAGGTTTCTAAAAAGATAGAAACCATCAAATTTCACATATAATGTTTTAACTATTAATTAACATCATAGTCTAAGCAGGTAATTGAGGCTGTTTTCAACCATAATGGGGTTGAATAAAACTCAAATGAATCCATTTCTACAATATGGCTGCAGAGCTAAGCACAAGTCTGTTGTAAGCACTTGTGGTTTCCATGTGTGACTCATGGTTGGACTATGCTGCACTCCCTCGTGCTTTCTGAATGTCCCTCCTCCCTCCCTCAGTTTCCCAACCTCACTCTCCCTCATCTTCCTGTCTCTCTCCTTCCCTAAAGCCTAAATTCCTCCCCTTGTACACTCCCTCGCTGGTCCCTCCTATTTCCCAATGTTCTTGTAGTGACCTTTCCTTTTTATATCACTTTATCCGCCTAACTCATCACCCCATGGAGCCTGGCCACTTTCTTCCTATCTCTGTTGTATTTCTATAATAATGATAATAGAGTCAGCTTCATTTGTTGGAACTCATCTTTGGTTGGTACCATTAGCTTGGATCCAGCAGCAAAGGTTGCAAGTTTAACAAGTTATTTGACTAATTTTCAATATAAAAACAAGTTCCTAAATGCTGAGTCAAAGGACATTTTCCTTCTACTCTGATTAATAACTTGATCATTAAATTAATCAATACATCAAGTGTTTAGTCAAACCGTAACACAGACATTCCTGAATGTATGCATGTGTTCCATGAGGGGTGTGTTAAACTCTGGAACTCACTGATGCTAATTTAGGCATGAAAATGCTGCTGGAAATAGACAGCTGCCTTTGTAGTTCAGGAACACAAACACCACATGTCAAATGTGGGCTTTCGGGTTGGAAAGATACTCGCAAACTGGACGTACATGCTGTGCACAGACCAGATGTATAAGTAAACAAACTGCATGCTAAGGCAGTGACAACAATCCTAAAACTGCCTTATAATGCGTTCCTCCACTTAGACCACTGCTAATCAGTTCAGTTTTTTGTAATTAGGTTATTTTGTGCTTATTCTTATTCATTTAATTTGCTTGTAGTATAATATTTTCTGTTGTTTTCTTCCAGTTCTACTTCTAGCACAGACCAGCTGACTTCTGTGAAATATGAAAGACTTTTTGTAGACTATAATTATGGCAAATATACTCTAGACATAGACTTAGACAAACTTTATTGTCATTTTGTATAAAATGAAATTTCATTTTTTGCAGCTCTCATCACATTTCGATTTCTTAAAGTGCAGCCGTGATCAAATGTAGACTTTTTGGGAGAAAAAAAACAACAAAAAAACACATTGATTGGGTCAGTTTGATGCAGAGTCTGTGACGTGATGTAGAGTTTTTTCAACATAACTTAAAATGATACTGCAACCTGTGGCAAAAACCTAGAATTGCAGCACTCTTTTCCTTGTTCTTGTAGCTTGCACTCATACTTGACAAGTTTTGTTTGTTATGTTTTTTTTTAGCTGGATGCCTGTCACTTCTGAGTATCCACAACATCAATTTTGAATTAAGTGCTTTGATTGTTTGCTAGCTTGGACACATTGAACATGGCCTCAGAAACAGCGCGGGAACCGCCGACCCAAAGTACATTCAGGGAAACAGGATACAGGCATATCGATGCATCGTCGCTAAACTACAAACGTGTCAGTCTGCTCATCAAACAATGTTTAGGTAATAAACAGTCAAATAACAACGCTATTTTAAATATATTTTTCAGTGAAAAAAAAAAGTATATAATATTACGTCGTAATAAATCTCAACGTTTGCGATATACCACAGTCTCTTATGGCTTCAAAGAAGAAGAAGAAAACCATATCTTTGGTTTTAAGTTTCTAATGGTCTAAATAAAGAGCAGCAATAGAAGTAAAGCAGACGAATCTACCCCCAATGCTGACAGAACAGCTGTAGCAGCAGCAGCTGCTCTGGCCAGGCTGTTTTATTGCTATCCACTGGTGTGGGCATGATTCAAATGATCAGCTCTTTAGCTTACAGCTAGAGCCAGAAACACGTGCTTCTGCTTGTGTCCTTTATGCTGCTCTGTTGACATAGTTTTTACACCTG